ATCCTCACCATTAGGTCATTCTTGAAGACAGAAACACAAACCCAAGAACATTTAGAGAGTCACATAATGCAGAACTCAACAAATAGAGCCTTTAGCACAGCACTACGTTGCATTAGCAACCCTTGTAATAAAAGCAGGAAAACATTACGGAAGAGAGGAAGAAAAGGCTGGAACAGGCAGTGAGCTAAGCTGGCGAGGGAGCTGAATCCCAGCTGTCAGCACATTACTCACCAATAAGAAATGTGGTGAGCAAAAAGCTTGCAAGCTCAAATTCTGTCATATTAGAATATTGTTAGGACTCAGTCAGGAGCAGAAAGTTACATCTGAATAAAGAACAAAACAAAACCCAGCACCAGAGATCATACAATGAACTTTGTGTTAAATGAGCTCTGGATTTATGTCTCAGCTACAAGCCATGTTTTTAAAAGACACACATTGTTCTCCTTTTGCATTATTGGAATATTGGTTTAGATGCGTCAAGAACAGTGGTGGTATGAAGTGCTGAATTTAAGTTGACATCCGCTGCAAGCACCAAAACCGCTCCATTTCTAGCCTCGATTAATTATTTTCAGTCCATTCCTTATGGAACTTCTCTATTCATCAACTTTTTGATAAAATCTATGTACACTTTATCAAACAAACCTAAAACTAACAATTCTCTCACACCCATTCTGTAGTCCAACTGGCTTACTCTAGGAGTATATGAGCTCAGAAGAGTTGTCAAAAAATAACGATCAAATGCAAATAAAAAACAGATGACATTTCAACTTACAATAAAGTCTAGCTCATTAGGTACATGGGAGATTAAAGTATTTCTGTTTATACATATATAAAGTGTTATATAAATATATAAACACACACATATAATGTGTATGTACTTATACACATAATCATAAAGCCAAGTTTATAAGGTACAGAGTGCATATAAAATAATTCAGACTTGTGTAAAAGTTAAGTTCTGAAAGCACTCAAACCAAAAGACATATCACTAATCTGCCTACACACAAATTCAGATGCTGGGGAAACAATGGGGCTAGGGGAAAGAGAGGAAAGTGACCATGAGGCAGAGATGTTTTGCCCCCAGACAACAACAAAATACAGTCTCAAATTCCTTAGTAAGGTATAGTCGGAGCCTACACTAGTTCAAGTCAGTAAAAATGTCATAATGCATTCTTTGTGAAAGTAACAATTAATGACTGACTGGAAATATCTGATCCTTCCATTTAGCAGTAATTAAGAAAACCTTTCAAGAAATATCCCACATACACTCCTTAGTATTGATACACATGAGGACACAGTAGCACTGGATGACCAAGTACAACTCTGGGGGCAGACCTTTCCAGCTTGGCTCTGGAAATGGACTTTGCTCTTACCCATCGAAACTTTCGATGACCTTCTCCTTAACAGAACTGGACAGTCATCCCCTCCTCTCCTTTCAGCATCTGGGGTGTTTGCTGAAGAGATGTGCAAAACTAGGGGGGCTAAAGCTAAAGAGTTAGAATCTGAAAAGAACCCACAAAGAGAAAAACTTAAGATACAGGTAGTCTGAAGTAGCTTTGTCTTCACTTAGGAACTCATGTTAGCTATCTCCCCTGTAGTTGCAATTACCAAAAATCCTATTATCTTAATCCTCCCTGCATTTTTATTTCACAACTGACAGCAAGGAAAGTGTAAGCTGTCACTCAGTATCCTTCAGTTCATGAGTGGCAATTTGTTTAGCCGTGGTAACTCATCACTTTTGATACCCAAAGGATTAATCCCTCTGTTTGAATTCTGCCTAGTGAAATGGAATTTCATTAAATAAATCTATGCTAACTTCTCCTTAGTCATCTTGTAATAAAACTTAATACCATGTATGCCCCTTTCTAGTCTTCAAAGATGAAGTCTTCAAAGATGAAACATCAAAATAACGAGTGCTCTTTCCAGTATTAAAACCTCTCTTATCCTTTAAGTGCCCTATATTAATTTCAAGTCCTTTCACTGTGTAACCTGCAGCAACAGCATTCTTCAGAGAAGGTTAGTTACCTGCGCAGCAGGCATGTACAGCACCCTGCAGTACCTCCACAGCAATAAAGTCACACCTAGCCATTTACTTTGCCTATGAATTAATGGCAACATTCTCATGAAAGAGCCAGAAAAGAATCTGTCTACTACAGTAACTTTGGTTACACTTCCCTATAAACACAAAAAGTAGGCAGGTCAGGAATCAACAGAAACTGTGGATAGTAACCACAGGGATAAATCCACTCCTAACATTCCTAGAACATGAACCCAAGTCTTTTCATTTTACAGCTAAAAATAGAATACTACCAGTGTATGCCGTCTCTAACAGCAAGAGGCAGCTTGGTCCACAGCCATTATTGAAAATACTGGTTTTCCTACAGTGCAGGAACACGTAACTTTGCACCATTCTCCACACATCACACACCTGAATAATCAGCTCACAGTCGGTAGCGTAAAAAGAACCACACTAGTTGAAAGGATGCATAACGTTACCACGTCAAAGGTGGTTCTCATCTTTCAGAGCTCAAGCTATGGACATGCATCAGCTCCAAAGTGGTTAATCTAGGCCCAGATACATTGCTTTTAGGCAGCAGGACAGGCCCCCGTCAGCACAGGGCCAAGCATCTTCTCTGGCAACATCTGCCTGATGCTGATGAATGCTCATTCTGCCCAGAACAGCATACAGTTTCACCAAAAGCTGATTCTTCTTTGTTCTGCTGTTTCATTATGCTGCGCAACTGAACAAGGTTGAAACAAGGTGAAAACACATAGACAGCCTTAAAACAAACAAATAAAAAGCTAGAAAAAAAAGCATACTAAAAAAAAAATCATCTTTCCTTCACCCTAAACCACCTCTAAGTGCAGATGAACTATAGGTGATTCAACAAACCATATTACAAAGCCTTTGTCAAAGCTACATCTCGGAGGGGGGAGTGGGGGGGGGTGGATTTTCCTTCCATCTGCAAATACTCTGACCTTACACAAATCACAGAGTATTTGCCTTCAGGTTCAAAACGGCTCAGAACCCAACACCAAGGTCAGTCCTAGAGTGGATGATCTGTTCGAGCACTGCTGCAGAAACCATGATGGAGATGAAACAGGAGTAACTCATGTCAGGTCATCATGAAGCCATTCTCACCTCATGTTCAAACACCACTAGTTTTCACCCCAGTTAAAAGCATATATAGGAGGTTCCTTCCTGGCAACAACCAGTAGGAAGGGAGCATCTGAAAAGTCTACTTAGATAAGAATTTTTCGTGAAAGGACTTCGCTTTCTCCATGCTAAGCAGCTCCTTTCCTAGGCGTTTACGTATCTCTGTGACAGACTAAATTAAACACATCTCTGAAAACTCTAGAGCAGTGCCATTCCAAGCGTAACACATAAAACCATTCTGCAACTGACATTTTTTTCCCCAGCCATTCCGATCTCTTTTTATGAAGAGACTTAGTTCATTGAACACTCTCCCAATGAAATCTGCTGAAAACATGTTTTATTCCATAGTTTCCATAAATCTGACTTGCAGCCAAGTAAAACACTGCAATGATCAAGACAGACTTACTTTGGTGCAAGACTAAGGCAGAGAAATTATTATAGCATATGATTTCTGAATGCACATGAAAAACCAAAGTGAAGCATACAGGACACGCAACAGCCTAATTTACAAAGCCCTGCTTAAAACCAAGTTCGTATTGACACCTCTGCTGACACTGTGCCAAGCAGTAACAGTACAATCACTTCAGAACACTCGCATTTTAGAAGAAACTTTACTTCCTAACTATGGCTTACTTCTCCTGCAGCTGTATATAGATTTTGTCTGACACTTAAGCACATCCTACATTTAAAACCTTCACGATTTGATGCTGGCAATTTAAGCTTCTCTAAAAAAGTAGCCAGGACTAAGACCTGGGAGGCACAGCTCTATGCTCCAGAGGAAACCAAGGAGAAAGGGGTGTGTGCATTTGGGACTGGAGAGGGGGGCATAACCAGGACAGAGATGAGAATACACATGTGCATAAAGCGGGGACACAAACATGGATGGAGAAGGGAAAAGAATAGGGACAGAGGAAAAAGAGGGCAGGCAGCAAAGGGGTGGGTGAAATAAAGGCACAAGGGCCCACAAACAACCCATGAACGCTCCCCTCGGCGGCAGTCTGCAGTAAAGGGCAGCCCAGCGAGGCTCGGAGCCCCGCTCCGGCAGGAAAGGCCAAAGGCTCTCACCTCGCAGCCGCCGCGCCAGCCGCTTGGCCCAGGCCGCCCGGCGGGGCGCGGCGCCGTCCGATGGCACCTGGTGGCGGCTCGGCACCTCCGTTCCGCCGCGCCCCGCGGGGATCCGCCGCTGCCGCCGCCCGCCGCCGCCAGGGCCCGCCGTGCCGCTGCCCAACGACGACGAAGCGCCGGCCGCGGGGCTGCCCCACTCCACGTCCATCTCCAGCACCGGCCCAGCGGCCGCCGCTCCCTCCTCCTCCGGCTCGAAGCCCGGGTTATCACGGCTCCAGGCCTGCCGCGAGCAGGCGGAGAGCGGCGGCGACGGCGGGCCGGAGCCGGCCCGCGCCGCCTCGCCCAGCCGCTCCAGCTCCAGCTGCTCCCTTCCTCGCCGGCAGCCCCCACTACCCGCCATCGGCCAGCCGCCACCACCGCCCGGGGCGGGGCACCGCCGCCTCCGCCCTTTCCCCGCCCGCCGGCGCCAGCCCGGGAAGCCCGGGGTACGGAGGGAGATGTAGTTGCTCGGCCTCCTTCCCTCACGGGGGGGCGCGGCCATAGAGCCGGGAAGCCCAAAGGCTTGGAGCGCTTCAGTGGGAGCGGTGCAAGGGCCGGCACCAGCACGGCGCTCACCCTCGGTAAAAGCTCCACGGACGGGTTTTATCTACTTAATAAATAAAATATCAGCTATTTAATTTTATGGAGAGGGATTAAAACTCCTTACGCAGCCGGGAAGCTGCCCCCTGACCCAACTCAGGAAACAGTAACGCAGCCCACAGCTCCAGGGTTTTGTGTGTTTATTTAAATCCAGCAGGCTGGCAGTACATACAGCAGCATGCCACAGAGGTAACGCTCGTTCTGTGCGCCTGACAGCATCAGACTTGCTTCCCCACGCACCTGCAGCCAAGGGGAGGCCACTGGGTAAAAGAAGCTGCCCTGAACCCCAAAAGTCACCACGCGCTCTACATTTACAAACGGTTACCCGACACGAAGCTACGCCCATCCCCCCCCCCCAGTTAGGAATTTGAAGAGAAGGGAGATACTATATCTGCCTCCCTTTAAAGAGTGACTTCGTTGTTCTCGATGCTGTGACGGTCTCGAGCATCCTCGGCACTCTCCAACGTTTGGTTGCTGTTATCATCAGGGGTCTCGGCTGAAACGCGGACCTGGCTCTCCCTGCTTTCCATGCTGTGGTGGCTATACTCTCTGACACCAGCCTTGCTATCATCGTCTGCCTCATGGCTATCGAACTTCTGCCGGCTGTCATTTTCCAGGCTCTGGTCATGCTGCTTGCTGTCCAGCTCGCTGCTGTCCTGCTGATGGCTCTTGTCAGCCCATTCCCTGCTGATGTGTTTCACCAGGGAGCGGTGGGCAGCAGGATGCTCCTGGGAGAGCCCCACTTGCTGGCTGTCTGCATCCAGGGCACTCTCATCTTCCTCAGTGACATCATAGTCAATGAGCTGTGTTAGAGACCAAAACAAGGAAGAGCCATTGTCACTCCTGAGAAACTGACCTGTCAACAGGTGCTGCCATACTGTACCAAAGCAAACTGCATAGGGTGATGGAGCACTCAAAGCCTGCATGATGCACCTCTGCCTGGAGACACTGTGTTCTTTTATGGAGTTACATGAAACTTCCGCATAACAAGAAATTCCAATTTGAACTTGTCCTCAGATTTCATGTGTGCAAGTAGAGCATGATAGCTCAAATGGTAGTATTGCATAGCTTGCAGCAACAGGCTACACTCCTACCTCAGCACACCAACAGCCATCAGTAGGCCCTGATCCAGAGAAAGGAAATACATTCCTTCACTTGTGCCTACCTTCCCCTCAACAATCCTTTTCAAAACTGACATGTCCATTTTAAAGGCTCAAGTTCACTCTCTGTTTTCCAAAATCTGGGTACCAATGCTCACCGCTATTTACCTTCTTTGCAGCTTTGCGGAGTTTGCTAGATTTCACCACTGAGGCTTTTGCCCTCATTCTGTAGGCCACGCTGTCGCCTCTGCCAGCATTGTCTCCCCGGGTGAAGGGGGAAGGTGGGAATGGTGCAGTTACTGGAATGTCTGTGGTAAAACTTGTGACAACCTCATCAGATTCATCTGTGTCATTGGAATCATTATCATCATCATCATTATCATCCACATCTTCATGGCTCTTGCTTGACACATCAGGGAACTGCTGGAAAACATTCATTATGCATCAGGGAAATGAACCCTTAGGTGAGATGTGCAGGCTGATATCTGCTCTGCTCACCCAGAGCTTATGCAGTGTTGAGGAGCTATTTCCCTCACCCTCCCTGAAGCTCTGAGGCTTTTTTTTAGAGAGAGATGTTATCAGAAGAACCACAATTGATTGAGGAAAATGAGTGTTGCTACACACTGACTGTCCTGCAGCCCTCAACTGATGTTTTACTGTTCAAAATACTTACCTGTTCTGGGACATCCACACTTTCCTCTGAAGAGTAGAGAGTCTGAAAACAACATAAAACTCACTATTAGCACAAAAAGACATGTACAGTAGAGCTGATCAGTATGTTGAATATTCTTTAAGCACTTAATCCTAAATTGAAAGATGCTCTGCTTTCTCTTTCAGTCAGTTGCCTGTACCTGCTGAGGTGACGCCAGGTCATTCTGTGGCTGTTGCAGACTCTCCCAAGACTGAGAATTCACGTGGTGGTATCTGCGTGTGTGATGGCCCTTGGGGTCCTTTAAGAGAAAAAGAAAAGGTGGGTTAAATCCACAAAGAAGCATATAGGAGCAGGCAGAGCTGCCTGCATCACAATCTCTGTTTTCAGGCAGATGTGACATCTGCAATACATACTCATGCACAGGATGTGTCCTCAGCAATTCACTGCAGTAGGAAGAGGACTCAAACAATAAGATACACAATATGTGCCTCTCCCACTGGCAGAATCTGGGGAACTTCAAATCAGTTTCCCTGGCTCACTTTCACTGAGGTAAATTTGGAGCTATTTCTAGTGACCATAATTTCTTCCAATTCTCATGTCTTTTTCCCAAGAGTGATTTATCTCTCACATCAAGAAGACTCGAAACTAAATGCAGTAGCCAATTCTCCAAAGAAAAAATTGATTTTACATGGATAGTAGCTAGCAGTGGAGTATAAATCAAACAGCTACATATAAGATTAATACAACTCACTCACACCACTCAAAAAAAAAAAAAATGTGAATTGGGTTAAAGTCTTGAATTGGTGTCTCCCAACACCAAATATGGTCATCTGATCCACACTAATGAATGTGGCTTATAATAGTTGTGCCATGTTGTAGACCTTTTTGCTTTTTAACTGACAGCTTTCACATTTTTCGTTAAGAGAAAAGGTTTTCAGTGCTGGCCCAAAGACTAACAGAAGTCCACAGCCAGGACGCCTAACATGGCAAAACTCTGAGGTTGGTGGCTCTCCTCTTTGGCTGCCTGAGGAACAGGCTTATAACAGCTTGGTGAGGACAAGTTCTGCAAGCAGCTACAATCATAAAACAAGCATCAGGCAATGTGTATTAGAGGAAAAAAAATATAAAAAAGGATTTATTAAAGAAAATTAATAGACAAAAGGAGCTTACATATTTTTCTTCAGAACTGGCAGAAATGGCGTGCTGCTTGGTTTTACTCACCTTCAAGGGAGAGAGGAAAAAAGTATTTGTCAGTATTAATTTCTTGCTAACATACAAAGAAAAAACACAAGTATTTGCTTATATGCATTTGTGATTTACTTACTGGCCATGCAGCAGTGATGCTGATAAGGCATAAACACAGAACTGCCACCTTCATTGTGATGTTTGACCTACAAAATATTTTGGAACAGTGAGTCAACAAGGTAAAATACCACAGAAATACCATAGGTGTTTTCTCCCTTCTGGTGTACTTCACTGTGCTGAGATCAGGTCTCTGCTAAGGATTCAACCTGTCCATTGCTGATCTTATTCTTCTGTCCTCCATCACCACCCCGCACCCAATTGGTTTTGTAATGATTTAGCAACTCAAAAGCTACAAGGATTTTAAAACCAGGTACTGGGAAGTGTTGAGCAGTGGTGAGAGTAGCCACAGAAGGTGAGGAGTCTCCTGTTATCTACTGACTTGAACTGGCAAAGAAAAAGCTTTATGAAAAACAAAGTGCTATGAAGATAGCTTTGGGTTATCTTTGTTCATTTAACATCATTTTGCCAGAAGAGACAGGACAAGACAAACTCAGCTTGGATTCTCTTTTCAGTTATTTTAAACCTAGTTTTCAGGGTTATTAACTGGCATTGCTGTGAGTAAACTCAGTCTATATGAACATAAACTGCTTTTATTGATGGACCTTTATTTCCCCCTCCAGAAGTTTGAGCAGAATCACCTGTGTTTCCAAGCAAGAGATGAAGTGAAATATCTGCTCACATTGCAGTTTTAACAATTTAATAAATGAGTGATTCATGCTGAAATTAGGAGAGTGCTGAGCTACAGTAAATTCTGGTGCTGACAAACTGATTCCCAGAAGAAGGAACATCCCTGAGAAATTAAACTGATTTATTGATGAACCAGAGGCATTCAAAACTTCAATAAATCATAGCGGGAAAGAAAGGCTACTAAGGGCACATTTAAAATACATTAGTAAGGCTGCTCCTGAGACAGAACACTCGATCAAAGGTGTTGCAATTTCAAGAGTTAAACAGAGAAGGGTGTGTGTCACATCCATTCCGTAGTGTGCAGCACAGGCTGCAAGCCTGCCAAGAGAAACTGCGGCACTGCCAGGCAGTGGTTAAACAAGGAAGGAAGCTTTCTGTGTTCAAGTATCAGCTTTGAGCTTCCAGCACTTGATTCAGTGGCAAGGTTTTCAGCTACCTCCTCCCGACACTCAGGTTTAAATTGCTATTATGTATAATACCTTCATCACTAAAGCAACTTTGCTCCTATAAAAGCACACCTTTCTCCATAGAGAAACATCAAACATCCCTGATCAGTGAAGCAGTTTTCAAAGATCTCCTGCCCAATGCTTCCTTGACAAAAGTTGCAGACAAAATGGCACATAATCAGGTAAAAAGAGAAAAAAAAATATTACCTTTTGTGGTGCTGGAGGAGTCAACTGCAACAACAGTCTTAGTGATCCCAGCAGCAGCTCCAGCCAGTTGGTTTCCAGCAGCTTGGGCTTTCTCCCCTTGTGCCCTGTCTGCCTCACATCTCTGACCTCGGGGAATTTAAACCCTGTTCCAGGCACAGCCACCAATCCCTGTGAGGCGGAAACAGATGAGATCATGAGGTTCCTGGCCGCGGTCCTGCCCACGTTCTCCTACACTTCCTCTTTGGCTTTGTGGCTTTTGAAGCAAACAAAAACTGCTCTATAGTTAAAACATTACTTATGGGCAAGATCATTAACCAGCAGGTCTGTTGAATGCACAGCATTTGGTTGGTATCATGTAGAAGGACTTCAGGGCACATCTGTCCTCTTGTTAAAAGGCAGAGCCCAGTTTCCCAGAAACCTTTCATGCCCTGTTCTATAGGGGGTAGGAATATGTAATGTAGGAAAAAAAGACATCTGAACATAAAATTCCCCAAAAAGGTGTTAATGCTTCCACAGAGTTGTAGACTTGCTCTCTAGGGTATACATGTTGCAATGTGAATTGCAAAGACAGGGTGCAGACTTTTTGGTCTGACCTGAGTCTCTCAGGTGGTTTGGTTGAGTCATATGCTACAGCTGCCTGCTGCACAAAACCTGCTCCCAAACCCTTTTCAGGGACTAGTTGCCAGATATTTTTCAAGGTAAAAAAAGAAAAAGAGGTGGGGAAGGAAGCTGTAGCGCTAGTATGAGGAGTGCCGTGATAGCACTGGGAAGCAAAGGACTTAATGGGATGAAATTCCACGTCTGCTTGCAGGGCAGTGGATCAGTCCTGCTGATGGGCAACATCTATTCTGGCAATGCCTCACCTGAATGACCATAAAAGCTATGGTTAGATTCTGCCTCATCTGTGATGTGAGACTCTCTTCCATTCAGTGTTTCTGTAAAATGACAATGAGGTGTCATTCAAACACAGGAAAGCATGCCAAACAGCCCTTCTAGATGTCAGAATATTTATAACTGTTTCAAAGCGTTATGTTCTTCCTCATTTCTGATACCCAGCTAATGTTTGATGTGTCCTTCATCAAGGAGCAACAAAATAGCTTGTTGTCCCAGCCTATGTTTCCAATTATCCTGTGGTTACTAATTCTTCTGTGACAAGTTTAGAAACACCGTGAGAGACATACCGTTAGCTCAACAACTGCCCATCACACAGACCTATCATAATTATATTTTTGAGCTGAGGTTAGCAACAGCTAGAAGTTTAACTTAGTCTGCTTAATAGAGTATTCTAATACCCTAGAAGGAGAACTGGATAAAAAGATAGTATATTGTTACTGATCCTGCATATCCATAAACCCATGTATGCATCCACCTGAATGAGGACTATCCTAGCTTCTAGTTTTGAAGCTACATAAACATTATTATTTACTAACTCAGGAAAGACTTTTCAAGCAAAAAAACTTTCAATAACTAGGATTTCAGCAGCATGATCTGCAGATTTAGATAGCTTATATCATCTCCTATTGTATCTGCAGCTCAGAGCTTCTGGAAACTAGATGGTTTACAGAAGCCCTTGAATGCAGATGCAGGACTCAAGCTGTAAATGGATGCTATCTATAAGTTTTGGCTTGAGCACTATGTAGTAGCTCATACACACAGATTATAATACATCACTATTACTTAGTAACTAGGACTGCTTCAAAAGGCCACTGTTTCTGACTCCAGGGAACCCCAAACCAGCCCCTTAGGTAGCCAAATACCTTTGATCCCCAAAACTGATGCAAACGAGCAGTACAACTTGCAGCTCCCCTGACTGGTAAGAAAGAACTATTTCCCGTTGATAGAATTGACAAGAAACTGAGACACAGAGAAGCTTGGTGGGTCACACCAGTAAATGTAGGACTGGGTATGCTGGCTCATGCTTTCTTGTACACACTTGCTCAAATTTTAAGTCTGCAAAACCCTACTTTCTCTAACAGCCATTCATCAAGAGACACAGAAACAAAAAAAATGTTATACTGAAAGATCCCTTAGAGCTGTTGTTTGGCCAAAACAAGAGCCTTCCAGCACCTGCAGTCTGCATAATGGCTTATTATTGTCCATCAGACTTTCAGGAAAATACATATTATGTCAGGACTTGTAAACAACCTGTTTCACCAAGTTCAGCTGCAGTTATCAGTCATGCTGATGGAGAGCTCAGAGCCATCAGAAACATAGTCTTACTGCAGTTTGTGAAGAAGACCTTCCTGTACAGGTCAATTATTATTGTGGCTTTTCAAGGCAAATGTTTTCCAAGTACCTAGGATGCTTGTCTCCAACCACAGACAGTATGTGACCCCCAGGGAGTTGGTTTTGGCAGACAGCTGGTATTTCCAATGTGCTGGGAGATGGCAGTTTCTGAGTGCTATTGCCAAAGCTATATGGTTGATTTTGTAAGAACTAAGGAATAACAGTGTTGTCTTGCAGTAATCCAGAAGCAGGACATGCAGCGAGAGTTGTTACTAAATAGCTTCATTTTATGCAAGATCAGCTGGTACAGAGCTGTAGTAAACTTAGCATTTGCCTCATGCCTCTCATTATGTGGTTATTCATCTATAAATCATTTTGTCTGGCTGAGAAATGCTTTGCCTTGGTAGTGCTTCTCGTCCTCTCAGAGATAAGGAACAAGCAGGGCAAAACGGGAGCAACTTTCACCTTTTTCACTTCCCACACTAAAATGCCTAATTCTGGAGAGAACATTTGGCTGGCAGTGTAACAGTGGCACAGAAGAAGCAGTGCTCACATCTGTACAAGTGGGAGTGTACATGATTTCACCTTTCATGAGCTGTCAGGGTCTGTGCAGAGCACAGCCATGACAGGCTGTAATTTGTTGCATGTAGGTGACATTTTCTACTTGGCTATCCTGTCAAACAAAGTGTTTGACCACAATTTCTTCCATCTTGGGCTGCATTAGGGACATATGGTTAGGTTGCTGTTTCATGTAGTTGAGAAATGCTATCAGTGCCTCCCTGTGCAACCTCCAACATGTAGCTAAGATCCTGAGCTGAGACATCAGCACAATGCCTGGTGATATCTCTGGCTGGTGTGGGAAATCCCAGTCTGCCTGCAGTGACCTGTAACGCTCGATCTTTGAGGAATGCTGGTTTTCATTTAGATTTGTTCACCAAAAAAAAAGTCCTGGGGGAGATAAGAGCAGTATCTTCTTGGTGGTGAAGATTAAGACTGGGAGAGATTAATTTCTTCAGCAGCATTAAGAATGCTATGAAGTAAAAGCCCAAAGAAACCCCAGCCTGGTAGTGTTCTTAGATGCAACCATTCTGCAACTAGGATGTTGCAAAGAAAAGCAGAGCTAGTAAATAGTGGTGCCTGTGAAAAACATGGAAAGTAAGCCTTCTTTGCATTGCTACCATAAAATAATCCCGAAAAGTGCCTTGGAAACTCAGCACATCAACCAATGTAGCCCTTATGTTTTCCAAATTAAAGCTTCAGAAGTGGGGTTGGGCAGTTATTACGCTCCAAAAAAATCTTCTGCCTCTTAAATGGTGTTTGTGTCCAGGTATGGACAGGGGATACAGGTGTCAGGTCTGTTCACTAAAGAAATTACAAGAGATTTGCTCCTTACATGTGTGAGCCGGACACCTCATTAAAACATGCTGTGCAGCACAACTGTTACCTTCTGCTTTGCACCATGCTCTTCCAGTCTTCCTGCCACTTGTGAGCTGCAGTGCAGCTCAGATAACTAATTGGCAAGGCAAGCTCTATTTAACTCTCATTCAGGAAATAAAAGGGGCTATGTTATCTTACTTTCCAGGGTCAACCCTAGCTGTTCCTGTTCCTGTTTGCAGAACTAGGCACAACACTGACCTAGAGCTGCAGTAGGTGATCAATCAGAGCAGAACAGAGACTTTCTGGGAACAAAGATTTCTTTCCACCACCATAACGTCCAGCATATTAGAAAGTGCACTGTTTGACAGTTGTTTGGGCTGCCCTTATGTCTGTCTGCATATAAAGAGACCCCACTCACTTGCCTCTGACTCCCGAGACTAGTTGCTACCTGTTGACATTTCCAAATGCCTTTTTAGGAATGGCTTTGGAAGCTAAAGAGAAAAAAAAACCCAACATTTGAGAAACTGCAATACAGCTGTGGCCCACAAATCCTGGAGCCTCAACAGCCTCAGTCAGATCCCAGCTTTCATAAAGGCAAGTGGCTGCTTCTACTTGCAGCATAAATGCAGTCCAGCTGTCTGTAGCTTCCTTTTCCTGATATTTCTTCCCTTGGCTTTTACAGCCAGCTAGGAAAAACAAATTTCCAAGATCTTTTTTTTCCTGTTGGAATTAATGTATTTTAATTCTGAAGTCCATGGAGCAGCAGCAGCAAGAATTAAACCAGCACATAAACATTAGGTTATTATCAGGTCATCATAGTTACCAGCGTGAAGAGCAAAACACCACGTACTCCAGTGCTGGTTTTGTGGCTGTTTCAGCTCTGAACTGGTAGAAAAAGAACTGCATTAGTTTCAATTTGAAAATTTAATAAACACAATAATAATCTGAGCTACTACTAGAAAAAAAGCAACCTGTGAAAGTATATATGGTATAGGTCATGTTTTCATTACTGTGCCATTTTGTGATGAATGTGTCCTTCAAAAAGCAATTGTTTGAGGAGGATGAGACTTTCAGCAACTCAATGGAGCTGAGCTCAATCCACTCTCTAAAGATCCTGGCTCTGAAGCCTGAACACTACTGCAGAGGCAACGCTCCATGATGAAGGAAAGCATGTAAGATGCATGTGCTTAAATCCTCTATATGCTCATAAGAAAGTAACCATCAGTTTGCCAGCTCAGGGATCGCAGTTTGAGTACCTAGGGGAATTTGATGGTAGGAAATAGCTTCACACAAGATTCTTTTTGGGCAAGCATTGCAAAATCTTTGTGACAAGTTCTTTCCCTCTCTTTCCCCCTGCTCAGCTCCCTGTTTCCTATCCTACTGCAAATTTTTCTCGTCCCAGAGAGAAAGGACACTAATGGAAACATCTGAATATGCAGAATGGGTATGGAAAGAACTGCATCTTCTTGCTCTGCATTGTGAAACTGTTGGAAAGTCACAAGATGCCTGTTCCACTGAGTGCAGGAGCTTTTTGCAGGGCACC